AGCCGCTCGGATCGTTAAGCTCATCGTCATTTCGCGGTTGCACACAGGTCGGAAAAGTGAAAACGCACCGAGCATGTTCGCGTACGCGTGTTCGCGCGGGAGGGAAAGAGATATCGGGGAGGGGAGGAAGGTAGGGGAACAACACGACAGTGTTGAGAGCCACTGCGCGCACACGGCGCTCTATTGAATCCCCACCTGCGCGACACGTCTTTGCAATTGGCAGGAATCAAACCCACGAAGCGCAGAACGCGCTCTCGTGATTTAGTAGCTGCCGCAAATACATTGATCTATCCCCGCAGCTATCCCCGGCATCACTTCGAGAGTAATCCGGCGGGTCCGCGAGAGCGCGTCAAAAACAATCTATCAGTGAGTGAAATTGACGTTTAAGTTGGGAGCGGGGACGCACCGCGAATATAAAGCTTTCACCCGCCGCGCAAAAATAACACGCCAGGCTGTGAGCCGGTGTGAGGACGAGCGCGGAATGCAACGGAGAGAGAGAGAGAGAGAGAGAGAGAAAGAAAGAGAAAGAAAGAGAGAGAGGCTCGTACTTTCCGTCAATTTGCCGCGAACAGCCGCTCGATCGTATGCCGAACATATGCGCTAGAAGGAATTCGGCATCGTAAGATAGAAGGTGAACCGGGACTTGAAACAGCGGGGTTGATAAGTATCTTCCGTGGACAATCAAGGGAGAGAGAATCGGCGGAGGGAGTCGTCGATGCGGAAAGCACGCACGAACGATTCGGATCGTCCTTTTGATACGCGCCTGCGACTCGACTCGACTACTGAAAGGACGGGAAATTTCGCGCCCCCGCATTCTCGCTTCAGCTGATATAATTATCCGCGACAAGAGAGAGAGAGTGAGAGAGAGAGAGAGAGAGAGATTCACGAAGGCGCTATCCGCGTCGTTATTCGCGAGTTTCGAACGGACGGCAGGAAAACGAGGGAGAAAAGCGCGCGATTGCATTAAGTTCGGGTAGAAAGGGATCGGCGTTGGCTCTGCTGTAAATTTCGCCCGACCACTAATCGCGAAATCAATATCCGCACTCCCACATTTGGCCTGGCCTGACCTATCTCTTTTACTTTCCTTTACGCCAGCAAGTTTCCCTCCTGCCCCCTCCCCCGTGGTCCGTCTGCCCTACCTCCGACCATTTGTCCGTCATCCTACGATCTTTTTCACTTTGATCCAAATCACCCGCACTCCAGATCGAAATTCGCCCCAGAATGTGTAATATCACGAGATACGCGAATCTCGGCTTAGATTTCTCTTTATTCTCAGAGGAACATCTGGTTCGGAAAAGTAGGAGATTTCTATGGATTTTTTTTTCAAAAAAATGAATAAAGATATCGATACGAAATTTTAACCGTGCCATTTGTTATTGCTTCAGATATAAAAAAGTAATGTTTTTATTTGAAAGGAAATTAAAATTTTGTCATTCAAGTTCTCTGGACTAAACGTGGTGTTGCCAGACGAAGCGTCCGACCCGTGGACAATATTACGGCTCATGTACCTGAAATCTGAAACAAATGGGACGAGACAATTAAAAGCCGTATTTAACTTGCTGAAGGATAAACCCTTGTTGTATGCAGGAAGTCGAAATTTACTAAAATAGCGACGTTTTGAGGTCGCAAGTCGTTTTCTTCCTTTCTCTCTCTTTCTCTCTTTTTTATTTAATATTCTAGGGAAAATAGATAGATTTGAAAATTTTTCAAAGGATTTAAGTTCACTCTTTAGCAAATTTAATACAGCTTTTGAATTTTATTCTACCATTTGTAACAGATTATTGCATGAGCTGCAGTGTAGTCCACCAGTTCAAGAGGTCGATGTCAGCACAAAAGTTTTAGACGGAAAATTTCAATTGCCTTTTAATAAATTATAATATTTTTATATCATAATTTTATAAAGCTCTACATTGATGGTTCTATTCAATATTCTTTTTAATTCGTAAGCATCCCCTATTTTTCAGCCATCTGAACCAGAAGCTTCTTTTAAATTCAACATACAAGCGACGTAATATTGGAATACTGCGTATTTCAAATTTCGTATTTAACACCGCATAGTTAATAAATTTGTTTTTTTTGTGCGGGATATATAATAAAAACGACGAGGAACTGATACATCGCAAAAAAAATAACACACAAAATGAAAATAAATTAAAATAAATATACGCGCGCGTGAAGATTCGCAGTATTGCCGAATTCATCGAGAAAGAATACAGAATAAAAATGTGTTTTCGTCCGTCTCTCTCTCTCTCTCTCTCTCTCTCTCTCTCTCTCTCTCTCTTTCTCT